AAAAAAAGGCAGATTAACGGCATTTTTACGCGCGCACTTGCCGCCGATCTGCCCGAAATCCTCTGAATTTTTACTCTGGTAAAAATTTATCTCGTTGAAAACGAAACAGAGACTTGAAATATCGTACAATAACACTTTCTATGAAGTGCTATCCATTAAAATTAAAAAAAAAGAGAAACATTTAAAATATTTGATATAATTAATATTGATGTTTATAAATTGAGGAAATATCTTTGAGGTTTCGAGCATTGTTAAAAGCTAAAGAAACATAATTAAAATTTTTTGTCTATCTTTTAAACTTTATTTATCAAGTAAATTATATTTTTAGACTAATTTTTTTAAGAATTAGTTTATATTATATAGTTAATTTAGTTAATTTTAGTTATTTTAGCACTCACTAATTATCAATGATATTTCTATTAACATTATATCTAAACATTATTACGAATTAATACGTAACTACTTTAAGAATTTATCGCAAAAATATTTACAAAGAAGATACGGGTGAATAATAACAAGATCGCGTTACTGCAGTACAAAGGACATTGTCTCGCACTGATTGCATTCCCACTGCTGGCATTTTGTTGTTATCTACCCTATCACACGATCGGAGTGGAAGTGGAGCAACTATCGTGAGAACGGATAGAAAGGAAGTATCGATAAATTACAGCGCGATTGTCACGATAAATCGTTGTAACGCGAGGAAGAGTCAAACTCAGGATTTCCTGAAACTCGACAATATCACGATGTATTAAATTTTCTCAGAGCGCTTCTCGTTCGATTCAATAACGGATTCCAGTCTGGCGATAATTATGTCTTCTCGGGAATCTGGGGCAGGGAATACTCCGTCTGATAAGATCAATTGCAGATTCCTCAGATTCCCGACGAGCGTGAATTATAATGTAAAGTAAAGCGAAGTGATTATGATAATTGCGCGAAAGGTAGAAAACGTATTATTTTTTTTACATTCCCAATTTATTCTTATCTACGGTATAAAGTCGAGGGGAAAGAAAGCTGGTCGCTGCTCGTTCTCACAAATATGTTTCACAGTGCTTCTCGTTGCCCCTGTTATGAAAATACAAAAAGCAACCGTCATTTGGTCAGAAATATTTTGCATGCATTAGCATAATTCGATTTATCACCGGTCGTTGCCGCGACTGAACTCCTTTAAATCTGGTGACGACACGGCGAGAAATATTTACTGCCGACGTTGATGTATCCGCACTGCAAATAGCCTGTAGTAACGTGTAACTTACGTCAGAGAAAAGTCAGCGTAGAAAATAGGTAGTTATGGCACATCTCAGAACGCCCATTGAATCCGCATCACACCGCACATTTTCAACGATAAAAATAACGAAATGAGACGCGCGCGTTTCCAATTGACGATTTTATTACAGGCACTATAATATAATGTACTATAATCCAATAACGAATGACATAAGGCTGTAAAACGACGAAGGTTTCGCTCGATTGCGAACGGTGAATTATTAGCGATATTGCCGACGGCACAATGCGGCTCCTAATCGATGAAAAGTTTCAAAATTTTCTTTCGTCAGATCGGATATAGGTAATACCATCCTTCGTACCGGAAGCTGTTCTATCTTCATGGACACGCACACTTGCGTCTTCGTCGCGCACAATTCGCTCGAACTACTTTCTATGTCGGGTATACAAGGCAAAGACCGTTATTCTGTCCTGTTAAATTTGCTTGTGTACTTTTCTTTAAGTCGTCATTTTAAACATAATGCGAATTTTTATGCCGAAAAAATTTAAAGTACATTTTACAGAATTTATCTTATTTTTATCTTAAGTGAACATCTTGATTTAAAAGAAAAGCCAGGAAATTTATTGTGGCATGTTTTGATCATTGTTGAAATTGAGAATTCTATGTAGACCGATATTTATGGGAATTTTATTTCGAGACCAAATATAGGTATATTTGCATCAACATGGCATGAACAAATTGCCAACTATTTACCGCGACGTTTCTACAGCAAGAGATAGGGATTCTGAGATAGTGCGTGACCCGCATCTCAATTCCTGTTCTTTACAACTGCTCGCTATTAAATTTAAATTAATTCCTAAAGACTCACCGCACGTATTTTCGCGATTATAAATCAAGCTCGCATCGCGATCGTACGAAACGGGTGAAAGTACACACGGATAACTTAGCATTCCGAGAGTACGGGTATCGTTTCCCTAGATTTTCTCAGGAAGATAGACTTCACAAAAAGCCATTCGGGAATAATCAATTCCTCTCACCGGTATCTTCTTTTTTTTTTGTCAGACTCGAGACTTTCGTGAAACCATTGTGAGGTACGCGCGACGTTCAACGAAAATATTACCACGAGTTAATTAACATCTTATAGATGTAGATACGCCGCGAAGTGTGTGACGAACTAGGCGGCAAATAAAAGATCGAATCGTGAAACTGAGTGCCGTTTTGCGCGCTCGTCGAACGAAGAAAAGGATAATATGGAAAGAAATGTTACCCATACGCGTCCTGCTCCATAATTATCATCTAATTTCGTTAGCGGGATTGCCTGCGTATGACGTGTCTCGTAAAAACGTCCGAGCCACCACGTTTCCTGATGCGGTTGCATTATGCACTTTCTTTTTCCTAGAGAAACGACCGAAATACGCTCGTTAAAAGAAGAACGCGGCTCGCTTTCTAGATCAAACGCGCCAAGTGCGACGTCGATTATTCTCGCCGCGCACACAATAGTTAAAAACTCTTGCATTTTATATTAGGAAAAGTGATGGAAGAAAGAAGACTTCATTATCATTTCACTATCCCAAATGAATACAATCATAAGAAAGACATATGTTGTAAATTAATCATGAATGAATTAAACCATTCTTGATTTTATAGCTATTATTTATTAGCAAATAAAACATTTCCAACGATAAAACATTATTGTACAAGAACAATGGACACTGTAAAGGTCGCAGGTTCGAAACATTAATCACTGCCGGAATAAGTGAGGAAAAAAATTTTTTCCTCGATCCGAGAACGTCGTAATAATGCACGATACCACTTCTTCGGGGTACGGACTCTCGATATAACGTTACTTACGCGCGAGAACCTAATTTTCCGGATCACCGAGACATCCACCTCGCATCAGGGGTGCTTTCGATACGGTGAAATGCGCAACGGAAACGCGGCGCGAAAGAGAGAAATTTCCTCGTAGTCAAATCCGATTTCCGACCCAATTTTCAAGCCGGGAGAGATGGTGCTCCTAGAACGTCGCTTAGCATGCGTTCGGTATAATGCAAGCCTCCGCGCTTTCTTCTCTCTTTCACCGTGAAGGAGATCGGCGCAGCGCGACGGCGAGAAATATTTCAAGGAATAGGAGGTCGGTTGCCTCGCGACGGCAGCCGATTCGCGAGTTTAAGGTCAATCTTGAAAGCAGGAGCGAACGATCGTGTTGCGAAGCCTTTCCATCTTATTATGCGATCGATTCCTTCTATTCACGTCACTCCTTCGCGCTAGACTCTTTCGCGAAATCTCTTCTATACGTTTCTATTCCCGGATCCAATAGGATTCCCGAAGGCTGCGAGTCTTTTGCGGCGAATTGTGAATTATATGTCAGTAAGAAGAGAATTGAGATTTATAAAAATTTTATTTCTTTGAATATTTCTTTGGATTTCGTGTGAAGAGTTTGTCAGTATATCGATAGAACGTCGATACGTAAAAAGATAAATCATAAAAGGGTGAATCATGAATCATTATATTTTAAAAGGATTTAAATTCGCGCGCGTATCATTGATGAACAGAAATATCTTACAACCGTAATGTCTCCTCTAATGAAATTCGATTATACTTTGCGCGCGATAAGTACGCAAGGAGCATGATAAATATTGAGAGGGCGGACGAGCGATTAATCGCCGCAAAATCAGGTGATACCTAATTAAAAGTTCGGAGTTTGTTTGGATTGATATATGTACCCTCGTGCGAGAATGGCTGCAAAGTAAGTTCTACGTTCTAATGGACGGGAACCTCTATGAATTATAATGAAATTCGTTCCAACGTTTCACGAGAGCGAAGATTTGTCACTGGCTAGCTGGAAGCGTGTACGCGCCATTATTCACTTTTTGCGTTGATATTCCGCAGAGGGTCGCATCGTTTTTTAACACAGATTTTAGCGATGATATATATCGATATTCGAGATAAAATCGGACTATTCAGTTTTTTGATCGGATTTTATACGGAAAAGGATTTGCGAACTTTGACCCCGCTCGAAATCCTCTTAAGAGATTCGAGAATCGAGAATTGATCTTTATTTGAAAACAAGAGGATGTAGAAATATATAGGTAACATATAGCGAATTCGGTTGGACGCACTAGTGCGCACTCAGTGCACGTTAAAGCCGTTGCACACTGATTTAATTTCTAATTTAGAGTAAAATGCAAATATTTCGACTGATAAACGCCCGATACATATTTTACCAAATAGTACAATAAAGATAATTGAGGGTTTCGTGATTTAACCCGTTTATATTAAACATGCATACGCTTTATGTTGATTCGTGTACGACGGCTTTAATGTGCACTGAATGCGCACTGATGCGTTCAACCGAATTCGCTAATAGAAATTTCACGTCGAAATACGATTCGAACTACTCTTTCTTTCAGAAAAAATATAAAAATATCGAATACAGGTGATGGTTTGATATAAATCGCTTTTATTATTATTTAATTATTATTAAATGTATAGATCGAAAAAACAATGAGCATCTTGCATATGATTTTTAGAAGAACATTTTATGAATTACTTTGCACAGAGTCCACTACAAAATTTATAAAATTAAACATCTAATTTTATAGTTCATGTAACGTAAAATAAAATTCTTGAATTTCTCATTGTAAAGATTTTTTTTTTGGATTGGACATATTTGTCAAATTATTCTTGGGTTACATCTCAAAAACGGGACTTTTACTTTCAATTTCTTTGCGTGTCTACATATTCCGTTATGATCGCGCCATTCATTCGTACTCACAAGGTGTCTTCAGCTTCTCCTTCGCCGATTGTATTGTACCATTGGATCGGAGCGTGATGCCGATACTTTTGGACTTTCCGATAGACAGGTTTTCCGTGGCACCCGGTGGTGATATTATCGAGATACCATTTTGCTCCATGTCGGCGCAATTAGGTGTTTACTGAAAATAGAGCATAGTGGGGTTACAATTTTTCAGTCTAATACAAAATATTGATGCCTTAACTTATCTTATCTCTAGTGTGGCAGCAAATCATGCAGCCAAAATCACCCCTTAACTCCGTGATACTCTTATTTATAAGAGTCTTATAAGAAACTGCCACCGGAAAATAAAAATGACAGATTGCAAATGAATTCGCAAATATACTCCGGCTCTTCAGATTATCTTTTTATCAGCAAACTACTGTTATGCGCGCGTTTTAAAATCACCTGCTGCCTGCTCTGATAAATTCTGGTGTAATTATAGCGAATTATGATTCCAGAAAAATTCTGGAAAATTTAAAATTTAATTAAATTCTGGGAAAAATCTTCTCATTAACTTAATCTTTAGTAAAATTTTGATAAATATTAACGGAATCTGTCCTGTTCTTTTGCTTATACTTCTCACAATTTTGCTAAGTCACAAAATAAGAAGGTCGACACTTATAACAGACTTCTCATTGACTGACTTCGCAACATTAGAATATCTTCTATCTGTGTTGCAAACAGAAGCTCTTGATAATCATATAAATAGAGCATATATCGTTATCTAAAGCCGGTACGATTTGGCGGAATTATATCGTCAGCTCAAATACAGCCGAGTTGTATATCATCGTGCAAATAACAAACGCAAGGTGGGAATAACTAATTAAATTCGCCAAGCTGTCAGATGAATTTCGACGCTTCGCGCACAAACGATTGAATCACACGTCTCCCGATTGCGGAGCAATCGTACTCCGTTAATTAAATCCATGATTTAGCACGCATATAACTGATGATTAACCGATCTCTCGTAAACTTGGCATCAAATATATGTTGCTGCATTCCCAATAAGTGTTTTAACTCGTGCAACTTACGCGGGAATATATGTTTATCTAAATTTGAAAAATTATATTATCGCAAATATTAAACAGCAAGAACGGAAAAAACCAATTATTAATCGATATTTTAACTAATTTCACCTAATCCTTTTCTTAATCCGTGATCTTTATCACATGATAACGGCTCGTTTCGAGCAATCTTTCGATGCTTTCAATTATATAATTTTTGGAATTCACCAAAAAATGCATTTCTGACGTCTGTAATTGTATGTTTTTTAAATTATAAATGTTATAAATTCTAAAGGAGCAACAACATTAAAAAAACGATCAACTGGTTTTTAACTTAGCTTTTAACTAATCAAGCTAAACTTGATACGCTTTCAAAGTGCTTTCGATAATAGATTGAACTCCAAACTTTCGCGATAACGCGAAAGATTCGCGATCGATTTATGACGTCATATCGAATCGTAATTTAATCTACTAGCACTCTTTTTTTTGCCGTCGTGGTTTACACCAGACATTTTTTTCCAACATATCTTTTCAACTTAAACATATGTTGTTGAAAGACTCCTCGCTATTTGTAAAATAGAAATATCTGAAGTCATTGGCACCAATGCCAACTAATGACGAGAGAAACACGCGAGCGAGTTAAATGACGTTTCAAAGTACCTATATACATTTGCATTTTAATTTATACACGTTACACTCATCGATTTCGTTCAAGAATCGGGAAAATTTTCATTTACAACGTTCGGTTATACGAAAAACGGCGATCATGAAAGAAGAGATTGTTGACTCTTTTAATTCTTCGATCGTGCTACTTACTGCGAAGAAGAACTCGCGGCTGCAACGTTGCACACAGATCTTGCACGAAGTCCGCTTTCGATGTATTTCCGTACGCCAAAAATTCCGCTCTCGTCAACAATTCATAAAAATGCGCGAATATGATCGGCACACTCGAAGGGAACGAACTCGCGCGGCTCTATTGTGGCTTATCCCAGGAATTGTCTTTTGTCGCGTGGTTTCGAGAGGACTGAATTCGCGAGTTGCGCTCACCTCTATATGTAGAAACCCTCCACTGTGTGCGCCAACGGCCGGCTCTGGCCGTCGCTCTCCCGTTAGACGACGGTATATGCACGACCACGAGAATCACGAAACGTATGCCAAATTATCAAGACGCGGCACGCGCGCGCGTTATTTCGTTTCCGCATCGGAAAATATTTACATTGGCGTCGACAAGTATCATAATATCGTATATGTATTATAGGATATACATTTCGCTGATCGACAACTTTGGCACACATCGCGGTTTTTATATGATATTGAAATGATCTTTTTTAAACGGAAGTAGGAAGAAAAGATCTTTTGAAAAATTAAAACTTATAGAAGCGTAATTAGATAAAAGATATTTATTAATATCGATTATACAATTATTTTTTAATTAGCTATATACTTTAAATATTTAAACAATGATAACGTATCAATTAAATTATATGGAGAAATATTTATTTTATTTTATTTTTAATGAAAAGTATCTCCTACGTGTGAATTCAAAAGCACTAGGTGAATGCCCTACATATTTGAAGAGCATTGTCAAGAAATTATCTTTGGCAAATCAGCCAAAACTTCTTACTCATCGAGTAAATTTTAACTTAGATAACATCGCGCATTGTTTTGATTAAATTACTTTATCAAATTCTGCGATTACAATATGATTTTAATATCCTTATAAGTATTTTGTTAGTATTTTTTATCATATTTTTAATATACAATATATAGATTGCTTTTTTCCAAGAAACTGAGAGAATGCTTTTTTTAATACGCTTATCATATATTATAAAATATTACATAATTTTTAATCAAATTTAGGCTAAATATTTTTTCTCTTAGATTTTTTTACATTTATATCTAACACTTATTTTAGAAACAACTTCAAATAGATCACACAATTCATCTTGACGTACTTATGGATGCCAAAAATTATAGAATTATTCTGAAATCGTTATTTTTATTTAACATATTTTTATTATCAAAAAAATAATTATAATAAAATAACGTATAATTGACAAAACCTACTTATAAACCATACTTGAGATTATTTGAATCGAATTGTCTTTAGCGATAACCAAAATATGTACAACCACAGAAAAGATTTCCGGATTCACACGGAAAGAACGGTTTTGCTAAAATATCTAAAAATTTAGCTAGATACAAATCTGAAAATAATTTTGTTGCACCAATAATTATGTAAAACACTCAAAGTGATAGCTATTATAAAATGCCAAAACTTTTAACAGCATTATCATCAGCGACCTACTATAATTATTTTGATGTCGCAACAAAATTATTTTCAGCAAAATCGTTCTTTCCGTGCAATACTATTACTCTATCATAAATAGGATCGATATAAGAACAATTATATTTATTGTTGAAAAAGGAATATTTTAGTTTTAAATGAAAATTCTTAAAAGAATGAAATGATCTTAGTCTTATCACGTTAATTTTCACAGAAGAATTTTACATTGGGCACGGTTACACCGGAGCATTTAGGTCGCGGCCGGCCTATACCTCAAATTCAACCTAAATTATTTAGGCCGTCTGTTTTACAGCTGCTGTAAACAGGTGGTCTAAATAATTTAGATCGAATTGAGGTAGGTATAGGCCGCGGCCTAAATGCAGGGTGTAACCGTGTTCATTAGATATTTTCGTCTTAATATATTAATATGTAAAACAAATGAATGATATTTAATCGGAATATGATCCGATGTATACGATCTGATATTTGATACATATTGTACATACTTATATAAGAGTGCCATTCTTGTTATATCATAAATCTTCTCGAACATATTAATTGACTGCGATATAATCATCAAAAGAAGTATGTTTTCATCCAACTTTTACGACAAAAATCTTCAGTAGACATCATTAGCAGCTAATCAGTATATTTGACTGGTTATAGAACTAGATCCAAATTTTCTGATTCAGTTAGCATCAGTTAATAATTAGAATTACAACTACATACAAATGTATACATGTATACTTACTAGAGAAATAAGACTCGAGAAGATAGGATCATATTTTTTAGTATTTCTTGTAGGGTTATATACTTGAGATCCATTATACACAGGTACGAACGTACGTGTCACGTTATTGCCGTCGACAAACAACGGTAGCACATATCTGTTTTGTGCCAATATTGTGACGCTAACAGCGTGCATTATACGATTATAACATCGAGTGAAGATTTATTCTAAACGTAAGAATATAAGCTTAAATCTATACTCTGTTACTCTTGTCTCAAGATAGTAAATCAATCTTACTTAATTCGAGAAAGAGAGAGAGAGAGGAAAATAGGAATTATTCATTTAATCTTGTTTTATTTTTATACTGCATGAAGTTGTGACGGAACTAAATATGTCTAGAATATTTTTTGTTTCGTTATCATCAGGGAAAGTCTTTCTGAGAGGGTACTGATAGGTTTATTATCCTATTACCTCGAATTGTTTTACAATGTCAATTATGAGAGAAGCAAATAAAATCAGTAGCGATTTTGTTATTGATGGTAGAATAATGTCAGGCAATCGATAAATCACAAGTCAAAGTATATCAAGTACAATTTATCTTATTGTCGGCACAGTTTATCGTGCGGAATGCTATCAAAAATTCAAATGATAAATAAATCTACGATTTAATCGCGGACATTAATGTGAGCATTTAGGAAATTTATCACATGATCAATTTATGGTCGTATTATGATTAGATGATTTACTTATAGACGAGCGACTTATTAGATACGATTACATATATAAATATTAGATGCAAGAAAAGCATTTTGTTGTTTTTTGTGCATTTCTTTCTATTTCTTATCTTTTTCTTTATTATTTATAACATAGACAACTGTAACTTTAATATTTCAATTTAAACTGATCGAATTAATTATATACGGGCAAATATATACTTATAATATCTATATGTTTTTATATTATTGTATATAAATATAATATATACAAAATTATCTGTAGTCGCGATACACTTAAATAAATACTCGTCGCGATTAATTCGAATTTTAAAGTTGCAATCGGGATATTGATTTCTGCGAAAAATATACATCCGAAGAATTATTAACGTCTCATTTGTTACACGTGTCTCGCATTAATGATGAATACAAATTAAAAGTACATATATGGCAGTAATTCATTTTCATCTCATCAGGAGATCATAATTATTTTATGTATAAGGATAGATCTTTTTTATATTATTTTTCTATCATTGTTTTCTTGTATATACCTCAATTATGCCATTATCTCCGCATTATTTCTAATTTTTCTTTGAATCGGTCAATAATCTGCAGCTATTATCATTGTTGCTCCTTCATCGATGTCTTAAAAAGAATAAAGATTATGGTGTACAAAGTAAACATTTCATCCGCTTCATGGCAAAGAACTCAACGAGATTTCTCATAATTATATTACGATAATATTAAGTAATCGAACCAACGCGCACCAAGAGCTGCATTATTAACTAACCGCATTTTGCATAACATTGCCGTGCCGGGTCGATGACTCCGGCGGTGTCTGTTTGGACATCGGGAGTCGAAGATATTCTTTCCTTCCTCTGCAAAGCAAAAATCCTAAAAATTACGCGTTTTACAATTATTTACTATTAAATGTACTTTTATTTTCTACATTTAATATCAATTATAATTACAAAATCAATTAATTCTTTGTCTTTCACAATTCTGCATCGTTTCATTTATTATTCTACACCATTCCATCTTTTAAATTAATATTTTCACGATTATGTATATTTGTAATGGAACTATTACCCGATAATATCTGCGATGACGTTAGTCGGACGAGCAAGTGAAAGATTATGTATCGGTTGCCGCGATAGTATAGGTAATTATGCTAGAAAGGACGAAGACAGATCGGGATCTTTAACGTCATAGTCCATTTGTCACGTTAAACCCAGAAGTAAACTGGTTCACTGCCACGCGGTTTTATTACGCAGAGAAAGGAATACCTTCCTACAACCGCGAGAACCGGACTCGCAGCTACCAGGAACGCGAAAGAAGAGCACCAGGAAGAGATGTATGAGAAAAAAATGTACGAGTTTGACCAGTTTGTGACACTTTGTATACATGTGTAATCTGTTAATTTGTTAAATAATAAAAAAGATTGTATCAGAGGAGGAAATAAAAGAGTTAAGAAATAACTAAAAGATAATGAAAATGAGCCAGCTCTCTTCGTCGTGTCGTTATTAATAATATATTTAAAGACGAAACGACTAGAACTGAAAATAATAAGTCGGAAAATTAAAAATAAAACCGACGAATTATCGACTTGCAACGATAGGATGTAACTCGATGGATCTGAAAGTGACTGAGAGTACATAGCAATCATATTCGTGATTATTACTTAGCTACTGCACTCTGCTCTCTCTCTGCTGAAGAGCAAAAATAACACTTTCGACTTTTCCCTTTCTACCATCTATAACATCCGAAGGAACGACGCGTGATATACGTGATATACTTCACTTCTGGAGTGTGTCTTACTTTCGACAAATTTTTATACGATTGCGGCTGCTGTGCAATAAAGCCAACATGCGTCGATCAATCACCCCGCGGTGATCGATAGACACTCTATCGTCGGCCGGCCTTTCTTGCCAAAGCAAAAAAAAAAGAAAAATTGCATGATCGATGGCGGCTAAAAATAAAATCCTTCGAAATGATATTGCGCGCGTAGGATGACGGCGCGGGAGGAATTAGGTATTATATCTCGGCAACAGATTTGCGGTGGTAAAAGAGAGAAGAATGTGGATAAATAATGTATCCGCCGTAATCGCGGCGCGTTTTGTCTCGACTCCGAGAAAGGAACAGTAGGTTACCCGGTGCGACAGAAAACGCTGAGTGACCCGATGTTTCTTTCTCGGTATTAGAGACAAATGGCTACCCTGACCTCGTCCATTTGTGTGACAACCAGCTGCACCGCGAATGGTACGAGAGGTCGGTTTTTTAACACTGACGGTAATGTCGGTACGAATCGGT